AGCCTCCCGAGTGCTAGGATTACAGGCGTGCGCCACAACATCCGGTGCAACACCATATCTTTCTTATGTGTGTGCTAGGGATTGGATCCAAAGCCTTTGTGCTGAGTTACATTTCTAGCCCTTTTTAACATGTTTTTATTCCAAGACAGGGTCTCACTAAGGTGCCCAAGCTGGGCTGGAGCCTGTCTTCCTCTTGCTTCAGCCTCTCAGAGCCCTGGTATTACAACCATGTGCCACTGTGCCCTGCTTCATATAATATATCATGCTAGTTTTTAATCCCTTTCTCCTTTCTCTCTTAACTCCCCCCAACCCACGAGTGCTCTATTTCTTTTTAGTGCCCATTGTTGCTGCAAAAAAAGATTCCATTGTTTAGATAGGAACTGGTTTAGGGAACCTGTTTTTTAACTAATGATTGCTTCCAATCTTTTGTTATCACAAGCAACACTGCAGCAAATATAGTAGGTGCTTAGTAAGTGTTTGCCTCTTTGTCTATATTTTAAAAATTAACTTTGTTGAGGCATATTGTCCACACATGCAATACATACATGCATTCATTCTTTATAAGCTTTCACTGCAATGATTTTTCTTTGTCTTTTTGAGACAAGGTCTCACTATGCAATTCACGCTGGCCTTGCACTCACTTTGTAGCGCAGATTGGTCTTGAACTCACAAAGATCCTCCTGCCTCAGCCTCCTGAGTGCTGGGAATACAAGCATGTGCCACCACACCGGGCCACTGCAATGATTTTTAAAATAAATTTACCAAAATGCACAACCATCACCATCATTTTAGAACATTTTTGTCCCCTGCAAAAGATCCCTCATGCACATACGATGCATATATCTTTTGTTCTTTTTTATTGCTCAATTGCATGGCTATACCCTATTTTGTCTATCTGTTCACTAGTTGGAAAGTGAGGTTCTTTCTAATTTTTTGCTATTCTGAATAATCCTACAAAGAATGTTTATGTACAAATCTTTTCATGGATATACTTTTTTTCCTCTTGATGTAAGAGTAGAATTGTTGGGTCGTTTGGCAAATCTATATTTAACTTCTTAAGAAACTTCCAAATTGTTTTGCAAAGCATCTGTGTTATTTTTATATCCTTATCAGCAATGTATGGGTGTGCTTATTCCTTTCCACATTCTCACTGGTTTTTGGTTGTCTATTGTAGCCACCCTAGTGGGTCTATAGTGGTATCTCATTGTAGTTTTAATTTGCATTTCTTTAATGAATAATGATGTTGAGTATTTTTCCATGTACATTATTTTCTTGCATCTATTTCTCACTTACAACTCTAAGATCATACCCAAGAAAGAACACAGTGTTTGGGTTCCAGTAAACCTGGACCCATATCTCAGCTCTGCCATTTGCAGGCCATGAGAAATTAGGCTTCTTATATCAATCCTCTAAAGATACTGAACCTTTCAGGTCATCACCTGTGAAGTAAGAAAGAACAATCAGGACTTATACTGTGATCATTAAATGTAATCATGGCTATGAAGTATCCTAGCCTTGGGCATGACAATTCGTGGGCATCAAAATATTTTACTTGTCTCTCCCTCAGAGGTCTGTCCCCACACCAAATGTCCAGAACCCATCTTTGGAGAGGGTACTTTCCCTAACAAGGGACTGAGTTTTAAATGGTTGTGGGTGTGGTACCCAAATTTATAGTAACCCAGATGGCAAATGCAGGAACACAATTGCCACTGAAATAGGCTGGCTAATCAGAACTAATCCCTGCTGTCCCCAGTGAGAAGCTTCTCTGAGGGCTGGCTCTTCTGCCAGCTCTATAAGACTGGGTTTCCTGCTCTGCGTGTTGGCTGTGACCTCTTCCCTGACCCCTTCTGCTGACAGCAGGCTTCTTGCTGACAGCAACCAGGCCGCTGGCTATCTGTGTGGGGCAGATTAACCAAAGAAAAGCTTGGCTTATTTTGGTGTTTAAATTCCAAGAATTTGCCTATAGCATTTTACTTACTCTCTATCAATTTAAGAGAAAGACATCATTTTTTTTTTTTTTTTTTGTAATTTTGTTCATGTTAAAGCCAAAGCCACTGGTAACAGCTAGTATTCCTACAATGCCCAATATGCTACTCAAAAGAGCTTTTTAGATGGGCTCACTTAATTTTCATAACAGGGAAATCAAGTCGATACTACCATTGTCTGAGTTGCATAGATGAAGAAACTGAGGTGGAGGGGAAATAAGTGAGTACCTGACAGAGCTAGGAGTTGAACTCAGGCACACAGATCTATGCCCTCCATCACCACATGCTTCTGTTATTTTGCTAAAGGCCTTGCCTACTTTGGAATATCTATTGAATATCTATTAAAATGTAGAATGTGAATAATATTCTGACAATTTTTTCTTGGTACCTAATTTAGAGAGCAAGTTACATGCCCAAGGAGGAATGTGCCAGGATGTTCACTGAGACGTGTGTGTAAGCCTGGAAAACTCCCGATAAGCTGTACAGCGTCATCAGTACAAGGGCAGGTGGATGAAGCATGCTCTGGCCATGTAATGGGAGCCTGACGTTGCCCAGCTTTGAGAAAAAGGACAGAGCCCTTTAGAAACTGGATTAACATTGCAAAATTTACAAAGTAAAATAAACCAGCTGCAAGGGACATATATACAGCTTAATGCCATATATAAACAAATTTTATATATGTATATATTATATATGACTATATGTGTAATACATAGAAAAATGCCTGAAAGAATGCTAAATCCTTCCTTCCTGGGAAAGTATACTGAGATGAAAAGATATTGCCGAGGAAACAGTACATGTATTTTTAAGAACAAGGATCTATCCGTTTAGGATCTCTATAATTAATTATAATTGGAGGCATATATATTATGTTAAAAGTAAGAAACTTACCTTGGGCCACATAGTTAAAAGAAGAAGAGAGGCCAGGCGAAGTAGTGCATGACTGTAATCCCAGCACTCAGGAGGCTGAGGCAGGAGGATCCTTGCGAGTTCAAGGTCAGCCTGGGCTACAAAGTGAGTTCAAGGCCAGCCTGAACTGCACAGCAAAACTCTTATCTCAAAAAGAAAAAAAAAAAATAATAAAGGGGGGGGGGAAGAGAGGGAGGGAGGGAGAAATCCAGTGATCTTTCTAGTTACACGTCATTTTTTGAGGTATCTGTGAAGCCCACTATGATCCCTTGTGGTAATACCAATAATTCCACATTGATTCACCATCTCTAGTACAGAATGAAAAATCTATCTTCAAGCATTCTCACCTTTTCAGAAACTATGAAGTATGAAACATAACCTGACCTAACTGTCCCTTTCCTTTCCAGAGTACAGTCAGTGCCCCATGGCTGAGATGTGTATGATTAAAATGACTATGTGAGTGAAATGGTGTGTGTGTGTGTCAGAATTTTCAGATGTGGGGCAGCACTGTCCAGAAGCTGTCATCTAGGGAACAGTCACAGATGGCACACAGGGACCTCACTGTCAGCCCAGCTCTTGATATCATAGTGTGCCCTTTCTTCATTGGTGGTCCACAGCAGTGGTCCTGAGAAAGTGGGAGGAGCCGTGCCCTGTAAATGACACTTACTCCAGGAGTCACGTTTACCCTGTAATTGATACATCACTTCAAAAAATTGTGGTAAGCTACAGCAGGAGAGGAAATTGATGAAATAAGTGAGATCTTTCCTTAAAGCCTCCCGATTACTAGTATGGCAACCAAGTATGTAATAGAGTCTTACAAGGGGATTGACGCACATTAATTCTAATCCTTAAAACATCGTCATTATCCTGTTTTACAGATAAGGAAATAGGCTCAGTACCCATTGGTTGTACATGGTTAAGGAGCGGTCACTGATGCCACAGGGAAAGGGGTTCCTCCTTTTGCTGCATAATTGTGCTGTTTAGATGAGCTTCTACCAGGAGCTTAGCTCAGACTGCTGTTGCAGAGACCCCCGCTGGCCCAGACTCTTCATGTGTAGTTTCTAACTGCTCCTTCCCTGTTTCTGCCCACCTGCACACTGCAGTGTGGTTTGTTCCTTTTTCTGATCTCTGCGGTATGTGAGGGTTGCTTATGAAGGTAGATGTTTGAAGAGACTAAATGTGATTTCCCAACTTGATCTCCACAAAAGATAGTCTTGGCTAAATGATGCCGGGCAGGAAGGTCCTTTGAATTCAGACCAACCTGCCTTCTCAGGCCAGCCTCAGGTCTGGGCAGGTTACACCCTGCATAGGTCCAGTGGCCCTTAGGTGCTAAAGGTGTCAGCCAGCACAGCCCCGAAGGTGGTCTCAGTTTGGCAGCCACTGGAGCAGTGTGGTCTTCAACAAGTTGACAAACCTCCCTAAACCTCTGTCCTCTAGGTAGTTTAAGACTGATTAAATGGAGTAACACATCTGGTGATCAAGTGCTAAACGTCTGTTTCTATCAATGAATACAATCTCCTCAAAAGTGCAGGCCCTGGCCCTCCCCTCCCTTGTGGCAGCTGGGGCAGTAGTTTCCCGATTTCTAAATATCTTCCATCTGGCAATTTACTTGAATATAGTCAACTCCTCTTTTAGGAGCTATGAATCATACATATAGACCTTTTTGAATCCAATATGAAAAGACTTTTAGGAGAGACAGAGAAAAAAGAGGAGCCTCATGAGCTGCAGGCTCACGCACTTCTTTCCTCTCAGTCCGGGCTCTGGTTGCCCTGGGCTGGGTGTAGCACTATAGTGCTAGAGACTCTTAGCCAGTGTGGTCCCCACTCTACTTCAGGGGACATTGATGTTGCCATGCCTGGAGGGTTGGGGAGAGCTACTGTGCCTTGGGGAAAAAGGCCAGGGCTGCTGTTAAATGCTCTTCACTGCAGAGATGGCCGTCAGAACTGTGCCAGGAGTGCAGTGGTTGAGGAAGGCTGCCCCAGGACTTTCTGCCTGTCCACAGGCCTGTGTGCAGGTGACAGAGCCACACCACATGGTTCTGGAATTCTCAGGGAGGTCAAAGGAATCCTAGAAGTCATGGTGATGCTGGACATGTTTATTTTGCAGATTCGTGTGACATGAAAGGATGAGAGACTCCGAAGGGCCCCAGAGTTGCACACTGTGTTTTTTATCTACGTTGCTTTCCCAGAAGGTTCCTGAGAAGTCAGATGTCGTGCTTCGCTGCGTGATTTCTGGTAATCATCCCTAGACTAGCTACTCATCCTGTAACACCTCCCGCTGGCCAGATTATTTGGCTCAGAGAGGCATTATGAAAATATCATTTAGGAAAATTACATTGGAAGTTTTTTCTGAGTAATCAATTAAGCAATTAAATCTTCTATGATTTTTGTTTTTTTGAGTGACTTCCTGGATGCTGTTTAGTGATTTTCCTCATTTCAGTTGTGGTTCTCGGGTAGACAACACTTACTCTAGTTAATTTTTCAGATATGCTGTTCCTCCGCTCATGACACACAGGGATGGCATAAATACCTTCACTCAAGAAAATGAATTGGTTCTTCTCTTACTCTTTAACTGATAACCCCAGATTGGCTAAATTTGTCTCCTGCTGCTTGCCTTCCTCAGGCATGCTGGTACATATATGGTAAAAAGGTTGAAACTCGGACAAAAGTCAACCAGTGGAGGAAGAGCCAAGAACTTGAATTTCCTCTGGCTTGGAGAACACATCATTGAGTGTGGATCAGGTACCCCCAAGGGCAAAAAGAACTGATCATTCAAAGAAAATAAAAACACAGTGATTGGATAGGCAAGTAGTATCTTGTTTGGGATGGGTGATTCTCCTTTCTTTTGTACATCATGTCTCTGCCTTGAAAATGTGAAGGCACCAGTGATGTTTCCTGAGGACAGAAAGAAAACTCTTGCCCCCTAATTTTTTTCCTAGGTTGAGAGAGAAGAGCCAGTGTTGGTGATGGCTGCTTTCATTAGTGGAAGTCATATAAAAGCCCGTCCTGAGTCTGCAGACTGGAGTGCCCAACCACATGCTCAGCCTCACCAGCCCAAAGATAGCTTTCTTTATGCTTATCGATGCCATTCAGACTGATGGAGAGACACAAGTTGATTTGGGTCTTTAGACCGAGCCCCTGTGTGTTCAGAAAACCCTAACTTTGGCTGCCTGTCCGTGCACACATTAGCCAGATCATTCTGAAATGTGCAGATGGTGGCTCTCAATATGCAACTTGCAAGGGAGCTCAAAAAATAAAGGGCGGGAAAGCTGAGGATGTAGCATGGAGGTAGAGTGCTTGCCTAGTATGTGCAAGACCCTGGGTTCAATTCTGAAAGACCACAAAAAAAAAAAACCTAAAATACTAAAAAACAAGGGGAAACAGGTGAGGTTTCCAGCAAGTGTAGGGAGAAAAGAGAACCACCCACAAGGTACAAGATACCACTTCCCTATGTAAGTCTCATTTCTAGCTAATGGTTCAGATCTATACTACACAAAGGGAAAAAACCTGTCAGCTATTGGGAAACTGGGGTGGGTGTGGGGGAGGGTGTGGAATCAACCAGCCCTGATCAGTCAGTCAGAATGAACAACTGGAGTCCAGGAGGTCAGAATGAATTCCCCTGGATCAGCCTTTGCACACCTTATTTGTACTTTCTTCAAAAAAGTCATGCACACATAAAAGGAGCAATTACATGCTTCCTCAGTAGGAATTTAATAAACATTGAATAGTAGGGGCACAAGGCTGATAAATACAGGCAGAAATGAACAATGATCAGTAACCTCTTCAATGGGTTTTCAGGGAAATTCATTTTGGGCGGTTCAGTTACTTGTCCCTAAGGGTTGGGCAAGCAGCTGCTGGAGGGGGAAGTGTCCTTGCATGAAGTCTTTCTGCTCCTAGCCCCAGGGACAGCTCCTCAGGCAACTTGGAGGAGGAGGCAAGAAGAAAGAACCCACAGATGCCCAAAAGCACATTCACGGCACTGGCACAGAGAAGCAGGGCGAGGAACTCTATTCCAGACCATGCCTCTCACTGGTTTTTCTTTGTCACCTCCCTGGCCTCTTTTAGCTTCCTCAGAAGACCACAGAAGTATAGGGAGTTCTTATCTTTGTGGTCTCTGGAGTTGCTTGCCAGGCACTGTAGCCTACATAAGACAAAAACACAAAAATATTCCTTGGATGAGTTAAGTATGGTGTATTGTTTCCAAATACTGGGCTTTGCTCCCTGTATACATGGCATATTTGGATAAATTCTCAGTGACATGGAGGCTAGTGAGAAAGCTCTTTAAGGACACATTGGAAACTTTCTTACCCCCTAATAAAAGAGAAAAATTCCCAAGGGGTGGATGAAATTCTTGGGGGTTTAGAAAGGATGATCTGCTTCTGAGGGAGAAAATGTGTGTCGGTTTCTCTCAGACATCAATCACACACCTAGGCACAACCTTGGGGAAATCTATACCCCTAATTCCTTCCTTCTCAGGTAGAAAATAGCACTTCTGTTCTTCCAATTCACCTTTTTCTCTTTTGTACTACACCATATGCTCAACTTTGAGTACATTTGTTTCCATGGAAATATGAAATTAACATTTCATATGTTTTATTCAACTCATTAATTAATGAGGGAACCACAAAGTATGAAAGCCTGAGAAGTTAGGTATGTATATGCTATTTCACAATGTTAGAATAAAATTGTTAGGTTAAGTGCAAGACTGTTTAATATCCTATTGGGCAGTAAACAACTTGTAGGATTATTTTTTCTGCTAGCCAGAAATGATTTGTACCTCTATTGGTTAAAAACCTACAATATAACAAATAACTTCACTAAATCTGGGACTTTTAGTCAGTAGTAATCATGAAATGAAATGAAGTACATTCCCCAAGATAATTCTTGGATGATCCTTTGCTCTAGATGACAATGAAAAAAAGATACCATCCATATCTTTGCCTACTGAACAATTTTTCTTGAGATGAGGCGGCATTTTTCGTTTTGTGTTCCTACTCCCCAGCACAGCACTGTCTTAGGCACATAACATGCCCAATTATGTTTATTAACTCACACATTTGTATCTGTGAGAAGAAGCTTTTTAATTCCTCAACTGACAAAACCCATCGTACTCATCTTTGATCTTTGTTGCCTGTTCTTGTTCATAAATTTATACCTTTTCCTAAAAATACTTAAAGTAATAAGAATATTCTTAATTCTTTATTATCAGGTCAGCCCAAGCCAGAGGTCACCTGGTATAAGAATGGTCAAGCCATAGATGAGTGTGGCATTGTTTCCAGTTATGAGTTCTTTAAGAATCAATATATTCATGTGTTACATCTCTCTTGGTAAGTGGCTTTGCCCTTATGGACTGTTTTCTAACATTCTGCATTCTATCATGTGCTGGTTACTCTGGGGCAAGGGCCAAAAGATTTGCTCATATTGGCTTCTGACATCCTAACTATAGATGCTATTGGCAGGCACCAGCCAGGGCATCCAGCTGTGCCTATAGTGTGCCCTCTGTATCTGCAAGTTCCATGTATTCAGTCAATCACAGATTGAAAATATTTTTTAAAAATTGCATCTGGATTGAACCTGTACAGACTTTCCCCTTGTCTTTATTCCATAAATAATACAGCATAACAGCTACTTACGTGGCATTTACATTGTATCAGATATTAGAAGTAAACTAAAGATGATTTCAATAATAGCAGAGGAAGTATTAAGCTACATGCAAACATTACGCTCCTTTATATGAGACTTGACCATCAGCAGGGGTGGGGATGTCCAGGGACCAATCTGCCTTGGATATTAAGGGACAACTGTATTTGCTGAGCTCAGTAATAATTACACTTCTCTAGTTTACCGCCATTAATGGAGTTAAATGTTATTGAGCATTTTAAGTGACCTAGCCATTTTCATTCATTAGGTGATCTTTTCACTTAATCTTGCTTTTTCTGGAGAGTTAAGAAAGTGTGATAGGATCTCAACACTCTCATCCAACCTTCCCTGGGTAGGAAGGAAGGAAGAAGTGACTGACATCATTCCACAGCAAATTGGTAATGGAATTTAGGCTAGGAGCCATGCCTTCTGGATTTAATTTAGGAATAGTGGTGGCCCTGTACACTGTTTTCTAAGTCTTTTCTATTTCCACAGAAACTCTTTGTTTGGATGAAACTAGGAAGTTCAACATGTAAAGAAAATGAAAACTGCTCTGATTGAAGCTTGGCAGGGAGTCTGTGCCCTTGGTTCTAATGTTACTGAATTGATCGCGGTGCTCCTCTAGGGCTCCGAGAAGCCGGAGGAAATAGTGGGCATTGAAAATGACTGCTGGTCAGGAGCCTGTGCCAGTAGACCTGGGTCTAAGAATAAGAATATTCTACAAGCGGGGCTGGGGATTTAGCTCAGCGGCAAAACGCCTGCCTGGCAAGCGCAAGGTCGTGAGTTCGGTTCCCGGTACCAGAGAAAAACCAAAACCAAAACCAAAAACAAAAAAAGAATATTCTACAAGCACCGTACAGCGATCATTTTGCTAAATGCTAGAGATGGAGGTGAAAAACATAAGCATTGTCCACATCCTCACAAAACTTCCACTCCAGCATGGGAGACGGGTGGTGAACAAATTAATACATCTTTTCTCCTCACTATACCGATATACCTAGGAGGCAGCTACATGGGCATTTGTTCTTGGACTTTCCTGCCTCTTTATTCCAATTTTGCCAAGGCCTTCCCCTCTATATCTGCGGCTCATTCAGCTTAGCATCTGCCTCTGCACTTCACAGGCAATTCCAGGTACTCATAGGCTAAAGCAGGAAAGACACTACAGGAATGAGAAACTTAGGAGGCAACTCACACTTAGGAGGGGGCAGGAAGTCACCACCGTCTCCTCTGAGGTCCAGCAGAGCAGTGGTATTTGTAAAAATGGAAGATTTAATATAACCAAATCTTTCCAAGCTCTAGGCCTGTCATTTTAAAAACAAGAGGAATTCAATCCCAATGCAAGAAATTGTGATAGAGCAATATGACAATATATACTTTGCTAACATTAAATATGCTGGGTAACAGTGATCTTTGGAGGTTCTGATCTTTTACACCAATTGTCCTGAACTGGACCTGCCCATTGGCATCGCCTGGGGAGGTTTCAGTCTCAGTGGTGTTTGATTTAATCCCAGTAACTGCTGATCAATTAAATCTGAACCCCAGGTAATTCTAGTGTGCTGTCCAAGATGAAAAATGTTTTATATCCTAAACACTGATCTGCAAAGTAAATAGAGTTATACTAGTATACTAAGTGCTGGTTAGGAAAATGAACGGAATTTTAAATAAATGACTTTCAAAGATTTTAAGTTAGTTGTTAATTGTATTAGTCTGAAAATTTCCTACCTTTATCAATATATCATAGACTACTGGACTGGCTCGTAACCGAAGAACAGTACTTTTCCTTATCTACCTGACTTTGGACTTTGGGTCATTAAAGATGAGCTCTTAGATATTTGAAAGCACCGTTTCTCTGCTTCTCAAGGGCTTTTCTGTGGCAAATCTCATCTGCAGTTTTTCTTTGAGGCCAAGAGCACTGTGGCTGTACTTATCAATCTTTGGTGTTTCCCCCTTTGCTTTTCACGGTAGCACCCCTTCCTTGCTCTCCCTGCATTCTCCCCCGCAGACCACTCTTCTTGGGAGAGATATCATTGCTGCTATAACCTTTGCCACAGGTCAAGGATGCTTAGCAGAAAGGAGACGTAGACAGCCAAGAAAGCCCTTGAAGGGAGAGAAACATCAATCATAACACTAAGGTCTGCACTGGAGCTGGAAAAGAGCTTTGGTTTTTAATTGAAAAGATGTGGGAGTTGGGAGGCGGGGAGGGAAATGCAAATAGATGTTTTTTACCTCATAGTGAAAGTGAGTGGCACCAATGTGTGTACAAATGGGGAGTTGTGGTCTCTTATGAACACAGTTTAAAGAAAGGCAACAAAGCAACAGATAAAAATCTGTCCAAGAACCCACACCCAGAGAGATAGACCCCCTCACCACAGCAAGGAGGCCTCTTTTGAAGGTCACAGTCATGCCTGCTATGCTGAGAGAGAGAACACAGATTATAAGTGAGGTGGCAGCAGCAAAGCTCAGCCTGTGCCTGTGTCAGAGCTGGGCGAAGCACCTTTCTCCCCTCTAGAGCTCGTCAGCTCTGCCTGGCCCTGGCTGAGCTTGGACAGATCCTTCAGAGTGCTGAGTGAGGATGATGGCCAGGAGGCAGCAGTCACTGCAAGCCAGTCTGCTCATGGAGCTGAACAGAATCCCCTCAAGTATGAATGGTTCCCTGGCAACCTCCAAAGGTGACCTCATTTGAAAATAGCATTGTGGAGGTGTAATTAGTTCAATCGAGTTTATATTCGTGGGTTTTTTTTTTTGAGTGGTTTTTTTTTTTTTTTTTGTAATGTTTTATTTGAGTATAATATATATGGTAAATATGCAGATTTTAGAAGTTCAATTCTAGTATTTCTGAGAACTTTATGCACACATGAAGTAACCACCCCAAACAATATTTAAAGCATTTCTGTAACCTCACACTGTGCTCTGCATCCAATCTTCTCTGTATTTCCCACCAGGAAGCAATGTTT